GTTTACGCATTTTAACACACATGCGATCTGCATAAAATTATCATATTACACATTTATGTGTGTTTAAATAACACGGATAAGCGTGTAATCTTAAAATTACACAGAAAAAATGTGTTAAAGTAACACACATGGATTTGCAGTGTAGCATAAATCACACGGAGAAACACGTCGCGTTCTGTATCCGTGGATTTTCAATTATCATGCGCATACAACGTGCGGATTCGCGTCTTCGGAGACGTGTTTCTCTATGCGCCTCGCGAAGATAGAACGCGCCCCGCGGGGTAGGAATGAAAACTATCCCCAGCTGTGACGTCGCAACGACAATTTGTCGTTGCCCTCGATGTCGGTTTTCGATACCGTTAGTGAAAAACATATCATAAACTGAAGATGTATGAGCGCGTTTGCAAAACGCGCAGGATGAAAGACTTTATTGAAGAATAGCATGAAGTTCGAACGGAATATTGTAAATCTAGGTGTTAGGTGAACCGAGAAAGAGCACGGCCAATATCGTGTGTTCCTCACTCCGTGCGACTATCTCTCGTATTTCTCTTTCTCTATGCCCGCTTTTAGCCGACTGTACGAGAGCGCGCGTAATAGCGACGCCCGTGTCGGATTTGCAACTTCCTTTTCATCGCGACGCTCTGTGAGGCGATTAGAGTCGAGCGAAAACGCGGCGTTCGAATATTTTTGGTCCAAATAATACATTTACGGATTATTTCGGAACAGTGAATATAATTTTTTGTGTTTTAATTTTTGTTTTTTTTTTTCTTTTTTTTAAATGCATTAGCACGTTTAATCCGCTTTTTTGTGAGAATTTGAGATAAAATTTTATTATCTAAAATTTTATTCGCAAAAATAAAATTTTACATGTGTATTTCTGTGGAAAAATATGAGAATTACTGTTGTTTCAATTTGTGAGGATAGTTTTTTTTTTTTTTTTTTTATACGAATTTTTATATACGAGTTGCGAGATATCGTCATTGAATTTTCTTGCACGAGAATTTCGATGGCGCGAAGTCTGTCATAAACCTCACCGATAGATACGCTATCGATTTTTTTTAGCGCGCCGTCCTGCCAGTCGTCGATCGAGATATTCGATGGTTCGCCGGAGAGCGAAGTTTTGGGTACCGCCAATTCCTTGGAGAAGATCTGCAGTCCCGCGCAATGGCCCGCGGGTCAACAAAACAAGTAAGTGGATTTTCTTTAGTTATTAGACCAATTATCTCCGCGAAAGTGAGAGAGATATCAAACTGATTTCATCAATGATGCATTGTAATTGTGACTTGGTAAATTTCCGGATTTGTCGGGACAACTCGCGTGCGGCTTAAATCGTAACTGGCTAAGTCCTTAGAACTCTGCATGGAGATTAGTTCCTAACTGCGCTCGGGCGCGTACATCGTTAACGGCGCGGTAATTTCGTGGCGGACGACGCGAGAGTCATCGTTGCAATTTGTGTTCTTTCTATCCTGCTGACATTCTTATAGCTCGACGCTGGCGCGCGTCGCGCAGCTCTTTCTCGTGATATATATACTTTGAGGATTATTCATTATATGTCGGGCACGTATTACGAGACAACGGCTGAGCTGACGCGCGAAATAGGTGCCAGCGCCGCCGTCGAGGAAACAGCAAAAGATCGTCGGCACGTAATCATAAAACAGCGCCGGCAGATCCATCATCCGTCTCCATCCACGAACTAGACGGCGGCACGCAAAACGATACCTCATACTCATCCCGCCGGAAGTCAAAGTATGAAAGATGACTGAGCCGGGCACCTCGCGCGTTGTGTATTCCACGATGGTGTGGTGGCTCTCTCGCATTTATGCCGAGTACATATTCGAATGAAAAGACGTCAGCGGGTGGTTGGTATCTGAAATCGTTCAGTCGTTACCGTGACATCATAAATGCAGATGCAGTTATTTAAGTGAAACTTGATGACAAGCGCGTCGAAAGCGATATCTCTTAATTCTGCGACAAGAATAATAAGAATGCGACAGTGTATTTCTTGCATTTTTGTTAAGCATGATTTTTTTTTTTTTTTTTGATTTATAACAATGCGTTCTTTTTCAGCTTCGCTACGAACAAAGATCGTAACTTTGAGAATATTCGTACATTTATATCGCATCGATAAAAAAATTCCGTTGTTTCATTTTTTTTTCATGTGTTTTTACCGGATATATATATGTAAATATGTATATATATACTCGGTGTATAAATACATTTATATATATATGTATATATACACATACACATGTATATACACCTAATTCTACAATATTGTTACTCACGATATATATCTATAAAAACGTGCTGCAAAAATTTACAACGTAAACCGTAGCAGCTGGTTGCTCACGTAACATTTGCTCGTAACGTTCACGCTGTGATATCAGAATTTTTACGATAGCACGAAAATTCTAGTTACATAGTAAAAAAACATGGTCCCCTGGTTGATTAAATAACTTTAGGAAGACATAGTTTGATTTTACGCGAGCGGACAAAACTATTGTGCAAAAAAAGACTTCTTTTTTTCTAGTAACTTCCATCCTATTTAATCGGCTAATTTGTTTTTGCTCGGTTTCCATGTAAAATGCCCAATTTGTCACTCGTATCAGCGTGACACGCATGCCGGGGATTGATTTGTGTGCATTGTAAATATTTAATTGTGCAATTGCGTTTCTGTAAATCACGTTAATTTATCTCCACATTTATCGCCACCGTGCCGCGCCCAGTGACACGTTGTTGTTTTTGTATTCAAGAAAAAATGTACTCTTTATCGCACATGCAACGATTTACGATACAAATCCTTGTGCGCGCTACCGGCCAACAGTTTCCACGTGCAAGCGCGCGTTTTATGGATGCGGTTCTTTCCGTGTCGTAAACATTTAATGCCGATCGATTTACTGGCGCAAATAATAATAAATTCGCGCGAGCGCATTGATATATAATATCGGGACTAATCCGTTTAATACTCTCCGCTTTTCAGAATTTATGACTAGCTGGGTTTTTTAATCACAAAGTGCTATTGTATGTTTGACACATTAGGTGGAAGACAGCACGCGTGAGGAGCAGTGTAAAACTTCAGAAAATTAAAATTTGCATTTATGATTAAAAACTGTTGTGTGTGTTTGCAAACATAAATATAAATTTGAATTGCAAATATAATTCAATTGTACATAAGTATATGTAAAACAGAAAAATTTAGAATACATAGAAAAACCCAAGTACGTATTACATATGCAAAGACTCACAAAAAGTAGATGCAGAATAATTAAAATAATATAAATAAAGATCATCCACACACTCGGGAGATATTATTTTAATTAATTAAAATATTTTATAAAAAGTCTTGGAGTGAACACACACCGTTAGTTTCTCACATTTTATTCCGAAAGAAATTATCTCCGTCTTATTATGCGATAAATTGTCAGAGCATCAATTTTTATTCGTTATATGTGATTCTGACAAAGTCGAGATATCGATGTAAGAATGAGAGATACTTGATAAGAATTCAAGAGAGGTAGAATAGGTAGGTCATATCAAATGAAAAACGTGACGGGAAAGATATTTGAAGGAAGATTTTTAGTCATACATATTGAGCAGCGACGTAGCACGTTGAACAGGACGGAGTTGCATTCCAGAATTTTTGAATCCTCTTTTTTATGAGATCCTTTAGGTTGCACTTTAAAAGTTGCACGCGACACGAAAATGATCCAGAATCTCGGCTTGGAACGTGCGCAACTCATGAACCGCAACATACAAGACGTACTAAATGTTTTATAACTCAACACAAAAATAAAAGCGAACGAAGGACAACAGTGACATTTCAGAAAAATCAGACATTCGGGAAGAAGAGAATAAAGCGGACAGCTCGCGCACGATATACACATGTCGCGCACAAGTTCACGCACAGAAGCTTCAACGCCGAAGCCTCCGGAGAGACGAGATTGACCAATCGGCCGTGGAAACAGCCGGCAACGACAAACAAAGGTATCGCGTGATTCCTCTCGAGGCTGCAAGCTGGCGGTGACCCGCGAACCAGGATTCCGGCTGACCAGCCGAGTCCCCGGGGGGGAAGAGAAAGGGAAGCGAAACAGAGATAAGTGCAAAGGAGACTTTCGAGCGAGCAACGGCGACGACGACGTCGTCGTCGTCGTCGTCCGGCGGTCGCATGCATTATGCAAGCCGTGGGAAATGGACGAACGCGAAATGTCTGTCGCGCGGCTGTTCCCTATCCACCCCCGGCCGCATGAACTTGATGCGGCCGGTGGTGCAAAAAGAACGAGAACCGACCCGACGAATGGTCAAACGAGCGCGCAGAAGGACTAAGAGATTTCCCAGAAGAGATTTTGCTGCCGCTACCGATACGTGAAACACGATCGATTTCGTCGGGCTTAGTAGTTGAAAGAGAGAAAGAGAAAGAGAGATAGAGAGAGAGAGAGAGAGAGAGAGAGAGATCCGTGAACACATGGCGATAAAAAGCCTGAAATATATGTAATGCCGCTACTCGCGCACGGGTCTCGTAGTTTCCTGAGCTTTCTAAGTGAATTTGACAAATGAATATGAATGAAGAGAGTGAAGAGAAATATTTAGATGTTGAACAAGAGTTTTACGTTTGTTTACAACATACTTTCTGTGAATACATTAAAATATTTTAAATTAAAATTACATGGACAAACAAAAACGATAATCACATCTCTCAACAAAGTTATAAAATTCTCGTCTTTACACGATAAACAAAACGTACCGTGTCAACGCTCTCGCCAACATCAACGACTACCAAGCAACCATAACGTCTCTTGCAGGAGATCGAAGGCGAGTAGAACTAGACGGTACCAACCGCGGAAATTGAGAGACCGTAGACAGTCCGCGGGACTGTCCATTCGGCTGCAAAGCGAAGGGCGGTACGTTTCTGGCAGGTTTGTCGTGATATTCATCACGCGCGCGTTGCCGCATCTTGCTGACGCAACTGGCAGTTTTTAATCTATTTTAATTTCTAACGTTGCGCCTCCATTTCTTCGTGTTGCGCTTTCCAGCCGGTCCCGAGACGATTTATGCTCAACAGCAGCCGGCCGACCGTCCGGATGTAGCGTACGGTACGTACGTGCCTATGGGACTGCTGCGTGTTTTATGTCGACTAATCTCGTAAAAATTCATGCGAAATAACGTCCGTGCTTCATCCGCCTTGCACGTTTGCCGCCCCCCCGTCGCTGCTGCCACCGTCGCCGCTTGCAACCGGGCACGTTTCCCATCGCTGCGACTCGACCCCCCCCCTCGAATTTCCGGTTGATATGTCTCGCTTTTTGCGAGATACTTCCGAAAACGACATTAGAGCGATGCAAAATAGAAGAAGGAATGGAAAGCACACGAGAGAAACTAAACTTCGCCAACTAGACTTGGCAGAGTCAGAGAGAAACGAAGAAACAAAATTTACAAATTTTATAATCCGAAATAAAAGTACAAAACAGTTCTTTTTTTTTTTTTCAAATGTGCACATATAGTTTAGAGAACAATTAAAAATTAAAAAGGAAAACATTATTGACGTCAAAGTCGGCATCAGTCAAAGACGAATCCGAGTCGAATCCGCGATACCGATTGCTCGATACAAAAGGTCGAAGGTTTCTAACGGCGGCGCGATTATTCAGGTGAGTTGCGCGCTCTATTTAATCTCTGTCCATGCATGGACACGAGATACATTGAGGATCAATCCGGGATAGCCATCGAGTAATTTAATCTTCACGCACGCCATGCCCAACTAAAAGCCTCGCGTGCTTCCCCTGCCGGAGATCAGGTAATGAACCGACACAGATCAACGATATCGAGCTGTACGCTTTATCCCGAGCCCTGATAAAGTAAACTACTATTTGGGTGCGGGAAGTATCGCGGTATATCTGTTTTGGAAATGATCATGCCTGGCTCGCGACGCAGTCTACAAATAACAACGCGCGCTTTTTTAATTTGCGTCGTGTTACGGCATCTCACGCCGCGCATAAATAATAATTTACATAATTGAGGTTTTAAAACGTGTACACGATATGATGATTCAAAACATTATCGAAAAATTGAATTGAAAATTAAATCAATTCTCATCAAGTATGTAAATATAATTAAAGATTTTTTATGTAAATGTAATTAACATTTTTATGTAAATCTTAGCATTCTTATTTTTATATCGGGTTCTTTTTTTATTTATTATCTTCTTATCTGTGCAAAAACATCATAATTTTATATTTGTATATTCGCACACTTCGATTTGATAATAATTATGTTTGTTTTATGAAATTATGATCTTGTGATAAACACGTCAAAATGCGTCAAGCCTCACTAACTTCGAGAGCGTGATACCGTCATGCGGAAAAGTTGCTGCGGTGTGAGAAAGTCGACGACGTAACTCTTGCGCTCATTCGGGTGACAAAGGGCTGGTCTTTCTACCCTCGCGGCACCACCGCAGGGACGATCCGATTTATCTTGGAAAACTAACTCATAGGCAATCCTCGCGCGCGCAGACTATCGGGAGCGAGACTCCCAAGACGTCCATTTACAACTTTGCCCGAAAATAGAGTCTTACGTGCAAGATTTACATCCTGCTTTGTTCAGACGCTCGTTGGAACTTCCGGAGCGCCCTTTCGCGTCATAACGTCTCGCGCCTCTTCGGCATAATAGTCGACGTGAATTAATAATTCGCGTCGAAGTTTCCGCATGCCGCAAATGTCCCTGATGAAAGTGTCACGAATCCCGTGTGTGGCGCATACGTTACATGTGCTCGGGTATATACGGAAGTTGGATCGACCATTATTCATAGCATGAGCCCGACAAACGTCACCTTTGTTCCTCCCATAGATCGTGAAATCGGGAGGCGAAACCATTTAGACCTACCCTTAACCAGGCGCGGTATTCATAGAATAAATATATTGCACACTTCGAAAAACGAAGTCTTCTCAGAAGAGAATCCGAAGACCGCCGTAGTCTAGTAATGAATGATGATATACACTTTTTTTGTGTTCAAGTTCAGTCTCTTGAGATTAATCACCAATAAAAACCGGTTTTACATTTAAAAAAAACCCAACTTGGGATCTTAAAGTTTTCACGATCTCTATTTCGAACGGACGTTTACAATGCCGCGAAATATTCAACAACGAGACGTGGCGATCGAAACATTCCTTTTACTATAGTTACACGTAGTTGTTGCTCACGACTACACACTCCTGTGGTCACTGTTCGATTTATATTCCGGTCCGGGAAAACGACAGCCGGTGAGAGCATCCCTCGAAGCACGAGTGCGCAAATGACGTTTCACTCTCTTCCCGTTTTTCTGTTTTTGTTTTTGTTTTTTTTTTTTGCTTTTTCCAGATACGTCGAGCCGAAGAGACGTTCATCCAACGGCCGGGACATGACGGTGGTTTTAACGCGCGCCTCAAACAGTCCCACCGACGAGGAGTACATGGAGGTCTCGTACTACTTCCACGACGGTAAGTCTCGTGTTCTTTTACGTCGTAAAAAAAAAAAAAGCGTGGAGAAACGTCGTACGTGCCGCTCACGAGCGTGCCGTCGCGCGGTTTTTCGTCGCGCGAACTCGCGGAGCGAAATAAAAGGTTGCATGTAAGCCAGAAATTGGATTATGACGCGCGCTTCGTCGCCGCGCAATCAAGTCCGCGTGTAAACGGCGCGAAATCGCGAAAAACCTCAACTGAACTTTTTCGCGCGTCGTTCTATTGCCAGCGTAGTGCTGCCTTGCTCTACTGTTCTTTTTTTTTTTTTTTTATTCATTACACGAGTTACGAGCGCAATCGCGTTCTTTACGCGAGAAGCTTCGTTTTACACCTGCGCTATAGCGGTAATAATTAAAAAAAAAAAAAAGAGATCTCGCGATCAAATTTATCCTATAATTTTTCTCGCGGCGAACGTTCCTCGAACGGTGCGAAACTTGCCTCTTTGTAAAAGATTATTTTATAAGTTCAATTTTTTTTACATCGTAATATAAAGTACATTTTTCCATTTAATAAAACTTTAAATTGCGCTGTTATATAACGTTGTTCAATATCTATTATTTTACGTGGAACAAGAAGCAACAATTTTCCGTGAAACAGTCACGTTTCAGCATTAATTTACGTAATCGACACGATTCGCGATCGATTTTGATTCGAGTCTTTTAAAAGCTTTTTAAAATACCGGATTGCGACGCATTTACACCATTAATTGCACCATTAATTAATTATTGCAAATACGCCTCGGCCGCCTCTTAATCGGATAAACATAGGCACGTCCGGGAACGGTAATCCCGAAATTCGCTTGGCAGTCCGCCGAGAATTCTGGTTGGCTGGCCGGAGGACACATTCGCGATATCGAACGCGTCCTGCTTTCCGCAAAAACAACGGTCGCGCGCTTATATATAATCCCGTTTCAAAGATTAGATTTAACCCCGATTAAGTAGCTACGACCTGTCCTTGGCCGACCAATTCCGGATATTAAAATGAGACCGAGGCACATTATACGCGCTCACATCGGGTTACTTGTAATTATTCGCGGTTGGATAATTCGCCTCTCGGACTCTCTATTATGGCTAATTTCGTAGTACATGACATGTCGGACCCTCTTCCCGTTTTAAATATACAGTAGGATCTCAAAAGCAAGAGAAGTATTTAATACTTTAATAAATTTTAAAAGAGGATGATTTTTTGTCGCAATTTCTGGCATAAAAGAGTATTTACTTGTTTCGCAAAACTTTCGCAAGAGTCTAAAAAATTTTGTAAAATTGTTGTGATCTATTGTTTGTTGTAAATTGAAATGTCACATTTTATAAAAATACAAAAGCAACCGATCACATTTTTTCCGGATACAAACTGATAGTACACGAGGAATAAAATTTTAGTGGACGAGAACGCGGACAGCGGTAATTGAATTTTGATATCGATGAGATTTTAAACGTCGGCCGAATTTTACGACAAATCATATCGACATCAAATCCTCGTTTCGACGGATTTTTTTTCCGTTGCCCGTCTATGAAATGGCCATCGGCATCACACTCGGCGTATCTGTCCCGGGCTACCGGGCAATCGTACAGTCGGGCGACATACAGATTCAATCACGAACCATTATAAAAAAAGAGGGGGGGCGTAAATGACAAGAATCAAAAGTCACGCGTGACGACAAACTATCACCGTCGATCGGAACGGTGATTGACGAGAGTGACTGTGTCCCCCCGGCTCGATGTTATTACATTTACACGTGTTACGCGTACGTGTTTCATATAGTACGCGTTAGTATCTCTCGCATATAGTATCTCTCTATATTCGATCGATGAGGATAGTCGCGTCACCTATTAGGTCGTTTGAAGTCTTAAATTTTTTCATCTTATATTTTTAAAACGATAAAATGCACAACGTCAATCGATGATTTCGTTTATCAGCTTTTTGTACAAAACGCCAGTTAGTTTAGCAGTCGAAAAAAAAACAAAAAAGAAAAATTTTCGTTTTATTTCGACATTTTTTTTTCATAAAGTACCACAGAGACCATTGAACACGAAGATCGAGCGTTTTCGATCTCACGGAATTCGAGAGCCTACTTTATCTCGAGCCAAGTACGAGATCCGGCGGGAACATAAAACTTTATGCGATCCAGAGAGACCGATCTCCTTATATAGGAAAGGGTCGAATTCTCTCAGCCGGTCGACTCCGAATTGCGACGAATAATCATGTGAAATTGACGTGTAAGAAACCGAATGAGAAAATTCCGTCTGCCGTCTGCGAACTTTGACTCGAAATAAAAACGTACCCATGGAGCATTTGCTCTCGTCTGTACGTATCTCTCCGCATACGCGAGTATCTCGTAAAAAAATTAAGCTAAAAGGCGCACGAAGTTACAAGTCTCGCGAGAGGTCGGCGAGCGAGAGAGTCAAAGTTATAAAAAACGAAAATATATCTCGTATGTATTTGGGATAACCTTTGTAATTGAGATCCGTGGATGCAATATCTTTTCATCAGATGTAATAATAATAATTTGGATTATATACGAGTGGTATAAATTTTAATTTTATAATTTAACTTACGCGTATTCATTTTTTATAAACGATACACATTTATTTTAATAAATTATTCAATATTAGAGTACATATGTCAAAAGTGCTACACAATTTTTTGCGTAAAATTTCAAAATTAATTTAATTATCTCTTGCTACCTACTTTTTTTTAAAAGCGCTATCTACTCCGCTGAATAATTTTTTGACGTTTTTCACGCGCAATGCATTTTCATCTGCTGCTCCAGAACGCGAGGGCGGTACTCAGCAGCCGGACAGCATGTGTGACGTCGAATATTTCGGACTGACGTCACCGGTGGAGGGCTCGGTGGTGCGTCCGGAACCGCACCGATTACAGTCCCACGAAGGTGAAGTGTTGAAGTGCAAGCAGCACTTTATACCGGCGCCCAACCAGTCGGTGGTCATTACTGTGAGTTCTCTCCCGATGAAATGTTTAATCCCTATCATTTGACCGCGCACGCGGGTAGAATTCGTAAATCTATTCTCGGCTTTTTAGAGATGCACCGGCATCGATCGCTCTGCGAATAAAAACTTTTAAGTCACTCGAAAAAGGAGAGAAAGTGAGAGAAAGAGAGAGAAAGAGAGAAAGAAAGAGAACACCTCCATCGAGTGGAGAGCTTCGGTCCGAAAACGAAAACTTTTAATCTGCATTTGCGCTGCGCAAGCCTTTAATCCGCGTTTAAATAATATTCCGCGGAATCAGACGCGGTTCCGAAAGGCGGCGTGTTTCGGCCGACGCGAGTTTCAGCAACTCTTCCGAAAACGATTAAATACAGCAATTGAATTTCCGCCGGAAGCATACCAACTGTAATCCCAGGCTGAACGATATGACGTCGTATTTACGTTACGAATTCATGTTGCATAACCGCGAGAGAATCGTACAACTTTAATCCCTTACGCATTTCTCGTAACTGGTTTTCGTAACATATATTTAGACACACAAAAACGTTTAAATGCCGTGAGCCAAATGTCTAACAAATTGTACGAAACTTATAAATAATACAGTTATATTTAATAATCAATTATATAATGAAATATCTTTTTGCCGTTTTTTTGTACACATTTGTGCGTACACATATATAGTATCTTTTTTTCTCTCTCTCTCTCTGTCTTTTCTATAGAGTTTTCCGTATTTTTAGAGCATCGGTATTTCTATCTGCAGGTGAAAGGTAGCACGAAACAGACACCGAATAATCCGTGCGAAACCAAGTGCGGAGACAGCGGCTGCCACTGCGTCAGCAAGTCCTTGGAGAGCATAGACCACCTTCTGCTCGTCTCCGAGACCGGACACATTGTCACCTGTCTCTGCGGAAATTACCAGGTAAGCACCAACGACCGGAAAAACCGTGCTCTCCGTTCTCGCAGCGAGTGTCTCATGTTCCGTCCTATACGTGAGCTTACGCTTCTTGAATGCGGCGAGATAAAAGCTATCGTTATTACCGCGAACTTTTACACCGTCGCATTGTCACGCGAAAATACCGGCGATGTCGTTAAAATATATCGCTCGCTATACGCAATTTTCCGCAAGCGGCTGTTATCCTCTTTATGCTCGCGATATCGTTCTCAGAAAGACGATCTCTTTTATTTTTCAAGGAAAATTCGCACGACGTCTTACAAAACTCTGATATACGTTTTTTGTTTTGTTACCGTCGATAAATTAAATATTACTGTGGTGACTGCGTCGTCGCAATCCTGTGCTAAAATTTTTATAATTGAGCAATATCGCTGACATTTTGCCGAATCGGCTTGCGAGAAAGCTTCTCTTTCGTTTGAACGCGAATTTGTCCGAACGTCTGTTGAAAAATATCCCTGTTTATCACCTTCAGTTTTGTCGAGTTGTTACAATTGAACGTTATTGTCTCAGAACATTTGAGTTAGACACGAGTGAAATAATAATACGCCGGTTATCGCTCGGGGCGATGTATTATCAAAACTCCCGAGTACGATGATTGTTCCGGGAGTAAGCTCCGGCGGCAAAGTGAGAGAGTCGATTTCGGAAAAGCAAGATCAACAAGAGTCATTCAATCTCGTAATTTCAAAAAAGTTCTCCATTTGTGTGTGTTTTTCCATTGTGTCTCTATTTATTTTTTTGTGTGTAAAGAACTCACAGAACTCGTGAGTAAATTTTATTTGTTCATTTTTATTATCACCACGTCACACATTTCCGACATTCGGCGATTGACACGCTTTATTAACGACAAATTATAAACAAAGCTTTTTTTCAACAATTTGTTGCGCCAAGTTAATACGATGCATTATATACGACGTTATTAGCGCTCGCGTGAAATATACACGCTAGTTTCATTATCGCGTTTATACATTGTTTATCACGATGCTCTGTATGATCAGCGGAAATAAATAAATAATACACTGCGCAAGATAAAATAGAAATAAATAAATTACAATGATTGTTTTTAAACGTAATCATTTATGTGATTATGAAAATAACTACGTGAAGTCACGTGACTGCCGCTTGAAAATTTATTTACGCCCGGCGGAAGAAAAAGCGGGAGAAATCTGTCATATAACGCGATATAGACAATCTGTTGAATGCAAAATTACGTTTGGACAATTACACCGCACCGCCGATCTGACTTTGACTCTATTCATAACATGATTATTAATAGACGTATTATCAGATTACTTGATAAAGTGCAATCGTTATGGCGAGTCTATAAGCGATAATATGATTTCGACTCGTGGGATCATCATTTCATATTCAAATGCTCATTATTCGGACACAATTGGGGCTATCGCGTAAACAACAAGCTAAAATCTATGTAATTTAACTGTATGAGATTAAATCCGAAATCCGCTATTGATAATTGAACGTATGTGTTACCTCGTCAGATAATCTGTCTATTATACATGTGGCTCTTTTTACTTTTCTCTAACACTGCGGCTCAAGTTGTCAATAAAATTTATTTGTTCCCGTAACTATCTATTTTTCTCTCTCTGGCTTCTTTATCAGTGGGGCTCGTTTTCAATTTTTCTTTAGCAGCTTCTTCACCTCCCCGTCACGATCTTTATTTTCTTTCAATCTTAGTTTGCCGTTTCTCACGTTCTCTCTCTCTCTTTCTCTCTCTATTGTCGTCGTTTCTGTCCCTGTTTCCTCGAGACTAATAGGCTCGATTATCGTGCAGGATTGGCTTCCCGTCGGCATTCGAAGCTGGACTCCGGTCTACATTGAGTGGTCGAAGTCGTCAACGGCGGGCCTCAATTTCAACGCGGCTTACAAGTTTATCAATGACACTTACTGCGGCGATCATACGACTGCCGAACTGGAAGGCGAGGTCAATGGCGGTGATCTGGCGAGCGCCGGGCTCAAGCTGAATCAGTACTACCAGCAGAAGTGCACCTGGATTCTGGATTCGTCGATCGACCGGCAGCTCATCATCGAAGTCAAGTCCACTCAAAGCCGTAAGCAGCTTTCAAATCTCTCTACAATATTGTAAAACCACTACACGTCAAAATTTTCGCAAACTCTTCTTTATTCTTTTCTCAGTGAACACTTCATCCCTTGCTTGTTGTTTTTTTTTTTCTACTTAATTTTTGTGCATAGTAAATATTTGCTCTCTTTTTTTTATATAGATTATATACCGTTTGTTTTGTTTTTTTTTTTTTCAAATAACTGGAATATTTGCAGTATTGTGATGCAGTGTGGCGATACTGATTATATTCGCGCGAACAGTTTTTTCAAATAAAAGAAAGTGTAGAGTTATATTCTTAGAATCCGCCAGTCGGCGGTTTTATATTTTTGCAAGAAAAACTCGCCCGCGGTTTAATAGCACGAAAATGATTTATCTTTGAAGCAGACCTACTTACTTTCTTCCCGAAGAACATTCTTCGAACGATTTATCTTCGAGCGGTATTAAAAGAAAACAGAAAACAGCTGCGTTTTGAAGCAGTGTATTTTTCGCGAATCGTCTACGGTAAGGACACCGTGTTCTTACGGTACAATTAATTTTTTTTCGTAATAACAAACCTGTTGATATTTTTTGAAAACCGTCAATATGTGAGCTTTTGCTTATATTCAAGGCTTGGAAAAATATAAAATATTTAAAAAATACGTATATTTCAAAACAACTTTTCAGTTTTATTTAGTTCTGGTTTGTTTGTAAAAAAGTTTTTAAACTGTATTGTTTATCACACATCGAGTAAAAAGCTTTATCGTAAATATTCAAAATTAAAAAACAATAATATTATTTACTTATTTATTTTTACAAATATTGTATATTGTTTTGAGTTAACAAATATTATATTGTTTTTTTTTTAAATTAGATATTAAAACTCATTATAACGGCATCGGAAACAATAGATTTTTCGATTTGTGTGTTATATCGTTAACAAGATCCGCGCTTCAACCATAGTCCTTTATTTGAACAAGCGTAAATTCTATCCCGCCGCCGTGCAATAGAAAATTCTATTCGTAGAATTCCATTCCAATCCTAGCCGGGGCTCGAGAAAGAGAAAACAGAGATAGATCATCTCGCGCGGGATGTGCTCCGTTTCTGGCGACGACACGGAGAAATCTTCCCTCGATTGCTTTTCTTCCGAGACCGCCGGAATTTTCTATCCGCGCCATTGGCTGCGCCGCCGCTGCCGCCGCGGATGCGAAAGGGTGAAAGTTGTGGAAGAATAAGTCGAAGGGGATGAGAGAACGTCCCCGAGACCGACCGGCCGGAGAGACAGTGGAGCGCAGCGCAAAACGAATGGCAGCGGGTCGCGAGATTAAAGAGACCATCGGATTTACCACGACAACGAAAGCTAAAGCCTCACCGTGTAGAAACCACTCTTCACCCTGCCACATTTTTCTCTTTTTTTATTTCTCTTTCCGCATTTTCCGTTCATCACCTTCCCTCGCATCTACCGGTGGGTAGGTGAGTTGTCATCTTACGAGCGCGACAAAAGCGACGACCTACCGCATATATTTGAGCTCGAGAATATTATGATTGTTCTTCACACACAGCAAAATGCGGTTGTGGTGTGAGGAATATTGTTTTCTTCGGTATGCGGGAAAAGGTGTGAACACATCTGTGAGTGAACTTGTTTCAATTCTCCATGAGACGAGACGCGCATATATAATTGTCTCTTTCTCGGAATTAAAGACATAAATAATATTATGCGAGTTGTTTGTTTATCTTAATATAATATAAATCGATTTGCGTCAATTTGTATTCTCATTTTTCATTTCTCAGAATTGTGTCAAGAATATCTTGACAGATATAAAAAGACACATCCATCGTTCGTGTCTAAAATCGGTTGCATTTTAAATATTTAAGCGAGACGAGTGTCATATCACTGCCACATGCTTGAGAATAACAAATATTATGCACACGAAGAATATTAAAAAGCGAAATATTGAAATTGTCACATGACACAGAAAAATATTCACATATTAATTTTTTTTATATTGCATGAATAAAAGATACGGACATACATTTCATACGTATTGAGATATTCTGTTTTCTTATCATTTGAAATGCAGTTAGCGGCGCATATATATATATATATATACATATGTATTCGTTGAAATAATGCGGGAACAAGTTGCGAGTGAATCACAAATGGATTAATGAGGCTTCGTACGTGCCCATCGAAATTGTCCGCTTTATGAATTGCCACGAATCGAATTACTTTAACGACGGCAGTGCATTTTCGCAACTTCGCCACAGAAATCACTGTTCTCTCCGTTTCCCTTCGTTTCCTCGTTTCTGAACTTCGTTCCATAGCTTTTTCATTTTCTTCCTTCTCGCTGCCTGACGGAACATTATGAGCGGAGTCGGGACCGTAACCAAAGCCTCGCAAACGTCGGCACCGGAAATGGATTTAATATACCTCTCAAGTCGTGAGAGTTTTCTCTCTCTTTTCTCTATCCAGCCGCTCCTCTTGCAAAATTTCATCCTCGACTAGTGCATTTTCTGGTACAAGAGGTTCGCCAAAATGTTCATGGACAACAAGAATCCTAGTAATAAGCATTCTTACTATTAACCATTTTATGACCGCATTATTACTTTTTGCAGAGTGATATAACAGAGAGAAAATTTCGTGCACAATGTGATGTTTGCAAGCAGTGAATTACAAATGTTAAAATAATAATGTGTAATATAATCAAAATATAATACTAATGAAATAATAACATTATTTGTTAATTAATACGTTTTGAATGATAAAATTTAAATAAAGATACTGATATTACACGAGTCTGAATATAATTAAATTAAAATGTAATTAAAAATTAATATTAAGAGGCAAAAATGTGTGTGCAAACAGATCGTGATACTATCTGATCTGTGCGATGATTTTTTTTTTTTTTAATTTTGTTTGTCAGGTCCGTGCACGGCGTGGAATCTGACGATACACGAGTACCGAAAGGAGGGAGATCCCGCCGGACCCAGATTACACACGTTCTGCTCGAGGGACACGCACAAGAATTTCACTCTGCCGTGGAAAATGAACACCGCAGTGGTTAGGTGAGTTTTCCAATCCTGCGCCCTTCAAACCGATTAAAGCGTAAGTTCGCGACAGATCTTATCTATTACTTACATTTAACGACAGTTTCGCGACATTTTCGAAGCGGGAGATTGTGACACGGTCGGTTGAAATACAACGGCGTTTTGCCGACAAACGCGCGATCGTGCTCTCTCAATCTCCCTCTCTCACTCATGCGCGCGTTACGCGTTCGCGTAAAACCGAGGATTGATGCCCGCGCGATCCGTTACTGTCGTTTTCGCGCAAAGAAATTATCCGCTGATTAACAATCGACCATCGTTCATCTCGGCGTCTTACGCAATGGATGGCAATTCTACTTACAACCGCGGCATTACTCTCGTCCTGTAATCCGCGGGATGTAAAGAAAAATATGCTTAACATGCGGTCTCCTTAGTCGAGATATTTTCTCGCTGGCAGTGATCGATGCGGTTAAATTGAAGAACAAGTTATTTTCATCACACATACTTCAAGTATAATTTTATTTTATAGTAGTTGCACACTTCTGTTTGAAAAATTAAAAAAAAATAAATTATATGTAAAAAATTATTTCTCACTGATTTTGCTAGTGTTTTTGAATATATATATATGTCTGTTCGTCAGTGTGATAAATAGCGCAACCATTTATTAATTAAAATGATTACTATAGGAATCTATATATATTTCGGAGTTACCCCCATCGTTTTGTTTTATATAAAAAAAATATGAATTTTTCTCTTATAAATAAACTATAATATTAATTTAATATTAATAATATGTGACGTAATATTCAGAAAAAAAACAGAAAAGGATAAACTATACCTTTATCAATTTTAGACTCCAGGCGCTCGGAAGAACCGCTCCGCAGTACACGATGAAATGGCGAAGTCAGACGGTGATCGCCAACACTCGCAAGAGCGGGCCATCGCCACCGCCGAACTGGCACGTGGTAGACTCGTCGAGTAAAGCTGAATTGCGAGGACTTACCCTCGTCTTTGTCGTGCTCGCGATTCTGCTTGTGTGACCGTTCGATTGTTGAGACTGAGCAACGCTCGGGGCAAAATGCACGCGTCTACGCACATTACGTTCCTGTTGAGAAATCGAACGAACTATAAAAATGATAATCTCACGTGTACATAAACGTCGAGAACTCGTGTGTCAGTTCTTGTTTTACGTTACTCGATGTAAGATGTTTAAAAGAAGAGAAAAAAAAATCATCACAGTATAATTGATCGAAAGACGGAGAGATTTTGCGAGTTGGTTCGTTGACTACTTTGACTGCGTAATTTTCTCACGAGATAAAAAAAACAATTTTCAACGCAGAAAAGAATATCACATCGCGTGAAGAATAAATTCGGAGAAATTTTTAATGACCCTTGGATCTCTCTATATTTTCACTCTGTACACGCGATCCGATATATTTCACGGTGTGATAGAGTTAACGAATCAGTTTGTTTGATCTTCGATCAAATCGTACATATACGCATATTATACACACACATATATGTCGAAAAAGTAAGAGAAAAGGAGTGATAATCAGCACGTCTAAACGCAATTACTTAGCTCGCACAGTCACAGTCGACTGTTACTTGATCTAAAAAAAAAAAAATGAATGAAATAAATTGTAGCCTCTATATTTTTTACTGTTTGTTCTATTAATTTCTCGATTCTCTAATTTTGTTAACTATTTTTGATTATTTTTCAGAATATTACTGCCGTACGATTCAGTCGTCTTTGAAACGTTCTAGTTTTTGAAACAGTTTATAAATTTAAAGTAGTATTGTTATAAATATTCAATAAAAATCTGTATTGACTTGTACATCGAAATTACAAATCCACTTTTTGAAAAAAATAAATAAATAAATAAATTGTAAGTGCTGCGTTTTTCACAATATTTTTCACAATTTTCATCGTACTTTTGGCCTCTTATATACTGAAGCCAAAGAGAAACGGCATGTGTATATATTATACATATACAAGAAAAAATTAATATGGCAAGAATGCGATGCACGGATTTGAAGTAGCAAGACTTACACGAATCACTTCTCCCTTTCTCTCGCACGCGAATGCCAAATTAAACGTGTAAGAGATTACCAACCACGTAGCGCGACATGTGTACATATAGGTGACAAGCGTCGATAGGATTTGTACAGAAACACGATTAATTGTCTAAGTCTGCGGGTTACTGTAAAGTAAACGATAAGACGTATAATTAATCTTACGCGAATGCGAACGTGAACGAAGAAAGAGTGTTGTATTTTAACGAACGAGCTTCGCGCGTGTGCCGGGGGAGGCACCTCGCGATTTATTGTTATCCGGTTTGGCGGCTGAACGGCTTTTAATTTTTCTTCGTTTTCGAAGAAATTCTCGATTTCTTCTCTTGCTGAGAAGTCCGAGGTAGTAATCCATTTGCTTTTCGCATAATTTTCAAGAAATAAAACGCGCCGATCTGCCGGCAAACTCACAATTGATTATTGAGAAGATATAGAGTGGGAAATAAATGCTAGGTCGTAAAATAAATTATGTACACACTCACCGCCGGTAGAGAATAAGTTGCAGCAGAGATCATGTATTCCAGCTGTATAATAATGCGCGCGCGCGCAAGTGTTTCTACGATTTTTCCATTAATTTTGTAATCGAAGTTCTCGTCACGAGTTCTTTTCTTATGTGTAATCTAATATGTAAAGCAAACGTGTTGGCCTAAGCATGATAATATAGCGTTATTAGTCATGTTTCCGTATTTTCACCGCGAGGACATCTTTTAACCAAAAACGCATTCTTCTATAATGTATATATATTTATTTTTCTCTCTTCCCTACTATAATAATACTCTAGAATAAATTAAAGGAGTATTATTGATACGTTATACTTACCATATCAAGAGTTTTGTCCAAAGAGTTTAGTATATTCATTGCTGTAGATAATATAGATCGATTATTTTTACACCTGTCGTCACTTTTAATCAGCTAAATTCGTGTTTAGCAAGTGAGCGCGAAAAGAGGCACTCGTTAATACGTTGTGTTATAATTATAAGATAAGCAAATTGTACTCTTCGAAAAAAAACCTCGTCAAAACAAATATGAAAGTCCTTATCTAACTTACTTATCGGAAGAATATCGACTGACGCAAATGTGAACGAAATTAACGCATAGCCAATTTATATGAGGAACGTAGATTGTGAGAAGATTACGCGCGAGGAGTTTTTTTGAATTTTTTAAACACGACAAACGTTACGCACCCGTTGTGTTCAATACTTGCGTGTTTATACGTTCTATTATTACTGCGCATCTGTACAATAGCTGGCTTTTTTATTTAACCAGCATACCGGTTTTACGCAAAAAAAAACAAAACAAAAAAAAAACACATGCGACCTACGAAAGAAAAATACGTGTTACATGTATTAGTCGTATATATGAATCACAATAAATAGTCAATTGTTTCATATAAAGTCTAAATAAAGTAAAATGAAACACTACTGAAAGTATCTGTTTTTTTTTTCCACTAACTCAATTCTACGATCAAGAAACACATCAGTGTCCAAATTTCATGCGTCAAGAATATCGTTAATCATTAACGTTAGTTAAAAAAACATAATTTATTCACAAGTAAGTATATATAAGAACGCAATCTACATCCAGTATAACTACAATATTTATATAATAAGACCGTACGTCCAGATATTAGAAATAACATATATATATATCTCACAAGTTAAGTTCTCATTCGAAGATCTTAAAAGTACATAACATTTCTGGTATATCTGACATAAAGAAAAGAGAATATGAGGAGATTGATAACAATATGTGATCAATAATAATAATCAACGATGCATATGGCAGCATAAAAAGTGATATGCTCTTAAGTGACATCGTTTCATTTCTAAGACGCGACACTATGGTATCTAATAATATATATATACATTACGTTATATACTCGATATTACATTAGAAAGGAATAGATATATGTATATATAGTACATAACATATATATGTATATAATTTGTGTATAACGTTTATAACGTTCATAATAATTTCGTATAACGTTTCATATACATATATATATTCGTATACAGACGTAAAACTTTAAAAATCATGAACTTTAAAAATATCAATAAACTCTTAAAACTCCGTAATAACATAGTTGTGGCACGCAGTGTTCAGGTAAAATGCACCTACATCTCATAATATAACACAGTTTGATAAAACTTTATAGTATTTTCAACTATATATATGTTCATCAATATATTAACAACGAATGACAATTGGACATCAACGTGCTAAAAGTCCGTCGTAATATCTGAAGTTTCAAAACACCTTTTCCTATATATGTATATTGTGTGCGATAAAATCGATTGTTCCCTAATTTTGCTCTCTCTGTCAAGTGGTAATATCGCGCTGTTAAATTATCATTAACAATTGTTTCACTAGAAATATCTAATGATACAAACTTCAACAATATATTTTTCTTTTATGAAATTAAGAAAAACCTTGAGCACATCATTACAAAATATTATGTAATTTCATTAACAACGTACATATTTTGTATAACGTTTCATTAACACATATTCACATATATAGAACAAATACTAATTGGTTGTATAATCGGGAACAACATGACACAATGATAGAAAATTTTTTCATGAATTATGAACAGATATATAATCTATATACATACATGTATATTTATATACATGTTAATTAAACAATGTATAACACAGAAAATCTCTTCTGTACAAATTTACAAATGCAGTTTGAATATATATCTCTTCTTAGATTTTAAAAACAGTTTTATAAAAACAAATGAAATGTGCAACACAACCATATCTTCGATAATATAAAATAAAAAATTCTTAACTGTTATAAAACAGCTGATACTATAATCTTTGTTTGATGTACACACTTCAATGTGGATATATATATATTATGTTAAAGCGAAACTATAAGATATATATTATAAACGAACTCTGATCACATAAAAAAGAAATTATCCTAAAAGACAGTGGAATATTACCATATTTCAGTAGATGTGGAGAAGTGTTCTAAGTAATTTATATCTGTTCTATTTCTCTCTTTCTTTGCAATCAGTTAGATACATACGCTTAACTTCTATATATACGTTTAATAAGAATTTTATACACTAGTAAACAAAGTATAATATTTACGGTATATTGGTTCCTCGATGATTGACCGATACGCAGGATTGAAAGCCCTTCTAATAAAAAAACAATGATAATATATGTTATAATGCCCTAAGTGTACTTTACTTTCATTATAATTAGGAACAAAAACCGTAAAAACGCGCCGGGTTATCCGGGTTCAGTGTCTATTCCCGTGTCTTTAAATGCCTATTAAGAACACACAAATATTATCATTACATACTATCTCGGAGTATCAAACTGAGATTCATTCGGAATAACGAAGAAACTACGAAATACGCGTCTTAGGTTTACGTGGGTACATTGTGTAGGACTGCAGAAGCAGAATTCAGGAGGCCCAGCCGTTGTTTCTGCTTCCTTTGCTCCGTCATCTGTTTAAAACAAAAATTACAATTCATCCCATAACAATAGACCTATTGAAATTTTTTTTCAAAAGAAAAACGTCCTTTCTCGAGCACATTTACGCCGAATCTTTGAAGTAAAGGATATTCTAAATTGTCTTACCTGATCACGAAGCTCCGTGAGTTGCTGGGACAAACATTTAACTAATTGCTGCGTAGATTCTAATTGTGATTGCAAACTTCGTAATTCCACCTGTTCCCCTTCGCCTTCGTCCGCCGCTAACGATTTGGCCCGCAATCTCGGGAACCATTCCAGATTACGATCCTGTGAAAGTACATAGAGCTTAAAGACATAAGCATCGCTCAACTTATTCAAGCTCTATGAACTATTACCTTAACCATGGCGTAAACGTATGACTCCGGTCCAGTGAATTCCGTCGGGTCTTTCACTTTCACCAGAACAATGAAGTAGAGATAATGCCACATATTATGTTCGTGTTTTATATGTTCCTCGAAGGAAACTGTCTTGTTGTCGAAAGCTGATCTATTTAGACCTAATGAAAAAAGCGTGAAAGGAAACAATAAATAGTCGTAAAATATATGTTGTATGATATATTCGAAAAATTCATATAATCGATGACATTGACTGACTCGAAAGTAAATACTTACCACAGATGAAGCAAGTATTTTTCAAAATCAATTCCTTTTGTTGCTTTTCCGATCGAAGATCAGCGAATGTGTCGATAATAACACCAAAGATAAGATTCAGAACGATAATTATGACAATGAAGAAGAATAGCAAATCGTATACTACTCTTGCAACAAACAGAGGTTCCTATGAAAAATAACAAATTTTTATTTAAAAAACAAGATACAAATTACATTTATTATAAGGTTAATAATTTGAAACTCACAATACTGGCAGGTGCTCGTAAAATATCTCCAATTCCACCGCCATTTCTCAATCCCTGATTTAACGTAGTAACAATGCACATAACAAGAGAGTCGCAAGCTCGTTCCTTCATCTCTCCACCGACATTGACCAACTCGGTTTTTCTCTTTTGTTGTTCAATCACTAGATTATAAATTTACATTTTAACATGTTACATCTTCGTTTTAATTAAATCGATTTCAACAATTCATATCGATACTTACTTTCGCGAGCGTACTGTGACAATGTCTCTGTTGCTTCACACTTTTCCTTGTCACTAATACTGCAAGCATCCGCAATCTGCTGTTCAACAGACGCTGCAAAAAATTGAAAAACAAATTTTACATTTAAATTAAGAAATTAAATATATGAATTTACACACTAAATATATTGTACAGACTACAAAAGTGAACTTACATATGATTTCCTCATCGACCGGCACGAGAAAATCGTCCTTAAAGAACATATATCCGATAATGGAAAACAAGTAGACTAAAATCAAAGCTAGCACAGCAGTGAGTATAATGGATCTTCCGTTTCGGGTCACCGATTTTATTACATTGAGCAAAGTCTCCTCGCGGTAAACAACGTCGAAAAGCTAAAAGAAGAATGTTGTAATTACCATCACGTGCAATGTACTTACGGTGTATGTATATACGCAGAATATAGAATATGTTACTTACTAAAACCGAGTAGAAAAACGGATGCATAAAAATTCCAAGAACACAAAACATTAGATACATCATGTGATACAAAAGTTCGATATTTGTTATTATTTGTTCTACATTTTTAGTCATAGTACCCTGATTTCCTATAATACTTATGAGATGTACAACTTTTAGTATGATCTGCAACATGATAAATTTAAAACTGTAGAATTCCAAGACTTGACATTGAGCATAAAACTGTAATATATGTTTGCGCAGAACTTTACCGTAACAAAACCGAGTAACCACAACGTCGGTTCTGGACCTACAGAGAAAATCATTCGTAATATCGTTGACGCGACTAACGTGCGTATACCGGATTCTCTTGGCAAAGTAACAACAATAATGGCGGATATAATCATGACGGCCCAAATTAGAGCTGACAAGTGATACTTGAGCTCTAGAAAAATAAAAATAAAGATAGCTCAGTGCGCGCACAAATAAAATATGAATTCGAAATTCATTATTTGTTACAAACTTACCAAACGCAGAATCTACAAACGGATAGAAAAACGCTACAATAAGATTGATAAGAACGACACAATTGAATAAAATGTTACTCCATAGTGACATATAACTGCTCATCCAGAACAACATCGGTTGTCCTACGAATATTAACAAGAAGTAACGTATTAGGAGAATTACCACATGATCACGTGACAAATTCTATTTTAATTTGTTCGATGGACGTACCTCTAAGCTTCTTCTGCCATTTCATTTCGTTAAACATATCTTCCGTCCTTTCGAAGAAATCGGAAACTTTTGATCCTTGGTCGTCCCGTTCGGTCGTGTTCAACACTCTTATTTTTGTGTCCACAGTTATAAGTTCGCAAATCTCCGGGATCGGAAACACAATTTGTTCTAGTGTTCTATCATGTCTGACAATCTGAAATATAAACGTTGTTATTGCGATATTATTGCTTTTACGTAAGAGATATATGTAAGGTTCTTTTATTTAGACACAGTACTTCTATTTGAGCTGTATGAGATGCATAATATTGCAGGGCTTTATTAATTTTCGGATCGGCGTTATTCTGTTCAGATGGTCTCAGCATCGTCGCCAGTTCTTTATTGTGTTGCGCTAATTGATGGCACAGAATATAAATGTTATGTCCGACCTGTAACAGATTGACAAGTATGCATATGAAACGTATACAAAAATTAATCAAGAAAAACAGATAAGAAAAGTTTCTCTACTAAAATTTATCGCTTTCTTACTTCTTTAGGCGACACTCCTTCCTCTCCGATGGTCGAAGAATCGTCGACATCACTGACATCCTGATTCGATTCCTGATGGAAAGCCTTACATGCCACATCCACGAGTTGTTTCGGATTCATATTGTACATAATTCTTTCGGCGTTCTCGCTGTCACCTCTGCTCTCCATAATGGCCAACAATAATTTACTGGCGTTATTCTTTAACTCCAGTACTAAATCCATTCTGGTTTTGCCCAGAGGATTGATATCGTTCAGTATCAACGCTGTTATAATATCTAAACCATTGGACTCGTGCGTAGCGATGCAGTTTTGATTATCGTGACACGGACCTTGACAGTATTCTGTCAACGTTTCCAAAGTTTGATTGATCAGCGCTACATTGTACTCGTTGATGTACAGACCAAGAAGACCCAATCCACCGGTGGTCGAGCCGCATATGCAATCCAGAAACATGAGTGTCTCCGACACCAAGTTGTAATTTGTTTTGTTGTTTTGATTTCGTAAGAAATTCTATACGTGACAAAGTCCAATTTATTAATACTCAACAAAAGTGACGTAATACATAACGCAAATTTGATAAGAACGTACCTGTAATTCTCTGTTGTGATTTTCGCAGAGCAATTGCAAAAAACGCAAAATTGGCTGCATAACTAAAACTTTTGAGCTCAACTGTCCCTCGTCCTTCTCAGCGGAAGCAGTGCCGCTTTTATTCTTATCTAATTTTTCACTTAAATCGTCTAACGCTCCGAGATTCACGTTGTTCGCCATGTCCTCACCCGGTGCGACACCGTTTCTCATGTTTACGTACGCCTGTCCGTTAGACGCCTGATTTAACTCTTCGCGAATTTCGTCAGTTATTACCATTCCATTAGGTTTTACTACGCACATATATATAACGATTGTTTATTTACTGTCTTATTGTATAAGGATATGCGTATAAGTATTTCATTTTATTACTTGATCCACGTTTTCGCGACATTTTGTCCACATCCTTGCCTTCCTTGTCTTCGTGCACTTTGGCTGCCATGTCGGATGTATTCACCGTCACGGTAGCTTTAATTTCTTGCCGAGATTCGTCCATTTTATTGTAAAACACCTATATACATATACACACACGTATAAAACAATACTGTAACGTGAAATTGTGCATTAGAAAATACAAAAAAACTAACGTACCTTGAAGAACGCCTGGCTCAAGTCGCCACTCATTAATTTATTGAATATACTTTTCTGTATAATAGGATTTCCACCTTCCAACAACGCTATACCTAACTCGACGGCTTCGACAAATATACTTGGCGAATGTACGCTCTTAATCACCAATTCGACCACCAAATCCGAAGCACCTTCGCGATCCAGATGCGTCTGTACATCGTGCAACGTTCTGCCAGCACGACTCAATATCTTCGCTATAAGTACGAGTTTTTTGTGAATAAAATATTCGAGCAATAAGATTGCGCCATTCAATATTTTTTACGACTTTTACCTCCTGGACCATGAGTGACAGTCGCGCTACGGGACACGCCAATGTCAACATTCTCCGGTTTCTGCATGAAACTTTTGCCGAAGTAACGCGTCAGAAGATTGTTTCTCAGTGCGTTCCCCTGTGAAAAAAAGAAGTACTTTACATCGACATTCTACTGAGTATTTGAAATCGGGACGATGTACCAATACATAGAGAGTGCACAACATTGATAAAAAAAAAAAAAAGGAAATCTTTTTCGAATAGTAAAAACCATTCTATATCAGAAGTGTAACGTATAAACTTGAATATTATATTTACACAGTCGGTGCTTTATGTGCTTAGAAAAATTCAACAAGATATGTGTGCAAATTGTTTATCGGATGCGTATTGTTTTATTAGATATTGTATATTAATTGACAAAAAAGTTTATATAATTCAAGACAAGATAATGTGACTAAAGTGCAATGTGTAAATAGAAACAAAGTGAAGTTAATATGGTCACAAACAACATTCACATATTTTTATATTAACAATCAACAGATTGTTGATTACATAAAACAAGTTTGACATTTTAACAAATAGTTAAATTGAAGATATATGTTTACGTGAGATCGTATTTATATAAAAAAAAGTGAAAGTTTAGGAGAAAGCACACAAGACTAAACAATGTAGCACTACACATATTTTGGATACGATAATATTTTGACATATTAATGTATTTATATCAAAAAAGTAGGTTTACTGTATAATTAAAAATATTTATCTATATAAGTATTGTAACATTCATGTTATTGGGGAGAAAAACTAATAAAACAAAAAATAAAACAGTCCTCACATAAAATTGCACATTAATAGAGTGTATGTGTGTATACATTTTGATCTATTGTTAAAATTAAATTATGTAAAATATCATTACTCAATATATAATTGTTCAAAACTATCATATTTTTGTATTGGTACATCTCTCTACGTAATTTATTTACATTTTGTGTGTATCTATTTATCTAAAAAAAAAACAAAAACATACAAAAACTTCTTATATTCCTGTTTTATATATTACAATTTTTTGACAACGTAAGTCTTTATCATACACAATTCTTTAGAAATAAATTGTTTTCACAAAAGTATATCGTAAAAGTGTTCAATGCACGGTAAATATAGTAATACAAAATGATGTAACAATTTCCACAAATAATTAGATCACACTGTATTACAATGCACACATTACCGTGAATCAAAATTACTTTTACACATTAATCACATAAATTCTTATACATAGCATGTAATGTAAATTGTGTTTTAATACATATACTCTATTTTTTCTCAAAAATAAAGTTTACGTATATTGTATGAAGATAAAAAGATGGCTTATATTAAGTTGCAAAGTATTACAAATAAAGTAAAAATTATATAATTAGAAATGGATATGTGAGAAGAAAAAACGGAGATAAAAATAAACGTGCATAAATTAAGCGGCATGCATGAAAGATCTACACAACGTACATTATATTTCTCTACTTTACGGAAATTTCACCACACACCATTTACGATCTGATGTGTATATATAACATTTAATGGACAATCACGTAGTCAACAATTACTTGAGTTACACAATTAATCAACTACATTTAGCAACACACGTTTATCATTTCGTTAGCTTTAAAATGATGACATGTAAATTATGATCCATCATGATTTGCTGATCAGAAAAAGAGAAGTTACGGAAAAATAATTATAAATTTTTTTCCTTTCTGATACCCTGTAAGAACGCGTTTTTTTTCTTTTGCTTTTGACAATGCAATAGCATGTAATGTCGTAGCGGTGTTAGATTCGCGCGTCCTAGATCATAAATCCGCGCTCAATCGATTTCTCTTCGGTAATCAAAATCTCGTTTCATATACGTTGTGCCCACATTGTTGTTGTTCTATCTACTTTAATTTTTACCGGATCTTGCTGAATCATTTGTCGATTCTCAGACTGATCATTGGAATCTGTTCCAACCCGTGACTCGCCCATCGTTTCTGACTCCTTCTCTTCCGAGATAACTTCGTTCTTCGTTCGCAGCATGAAAACATCTTTACCTACAGATCTATTCTACCAGACCTACTCACCCGCCGCTAAGACATTTGTAGAGCGTATTTGAGAAATCTTATTAACTTTTATACGTTATAATTCTCGTAATTATGCTGCAAGCCAAATAAATATTCAATCGCGTATTAATCATCTAATGTGCTGTGAGCGCTCAGGCATTCAGCTTTTACGAACGGACACCAAGATACAAAGTTGTGAATGTGACACATGAATATTTCAATCGTTTCCCTCACACACAACGCGAGTGATTCTATATTGACATTCCATGATATTCTTTACGAGAGCTGAATGCCCTTTTTCGCGATGCTGTGTTATCTCCTCTTCGTATGATAAATGATTCGTAACTTCATGCAAAGCGCGATTCCGCGAAACTCACCTTTTCTCCATATTCAGGATCGATAGCCATCATTTCCCTAAGTGTCCTTAAAACTTTTACGCATAATTTCTCTTCCGTCTCTTCTAACAATTTCTCGGTGTGTTTGATTAATCTGTGAAAAAGACGCGGATATGTGTAAGTAAATTTATTTGTTTCAAAAGTTGGGTCACTGTTGTATCGCGCTAAACCTATACCTCTTGATAAAACCACCATTTTCACATCTCTTTCGGGCGTCAGTTGCTGCAGGAAACAGCAATTCGGGCCGGTAGAGAATGTCCACTAACAAGGATAACTCGGACTGCACTAAAGGTTTTAACTGTTCCTCCAAGAGAGAGACTATGTCCTGTAGACCTTCTATAATACTTCGGTCGAGACGCATCAGCTAGATAAAAATAACGTGACAACAACGTGTTAATACATAAACTTTTTCAAAACAATCTAGTAGCTTTTATATACAAGTTGCTTTATATACAATATAAGAGTTCACTCATACAATCTATGCTATAGTGAACTTATCAGAGTTAAATCTGTGAATATATATCATATAATATGCATCTATTTTCTATCTTGTAACATATTTAGCATATTTAATACTTTATTGGAAACATTTTGTTTTTTTGTTTGTACAATAATTACCGTGAAAAAATCAAATAAATTTTATTTTTGTAGTAAGATACGCAGTTGTGTTGTTGCTGTACATTTTCAGCGTGTATGTGCATGTAGCTCTTCTATACAATATAATAAGACACGATACTAATAAACGCTCTTGAAAAGCTATGTAAAGACTATTGTAGTCTGTGTATCCAACAGTACTAATATTAGCACAACCGCACTACATAGCATAACTAAACCAACAAGGTGCTACGCTTCCGTGAGTGACCTTTACCTCATTGTCAGAGCCTTCCTCAGTATAAAGTAGGTCACTCTATGCATTTAAGCAAAATTGTTATATAGTTGCACACGTATATTTGTGTGTTGTAATTTCATCCTATCGTATCTTTGTTTTCGGGAATATCATTGAGAATTACCTGGCTTTGGCTACGTTCAATCTTTGGTTGCTTAGCAGCCTGCAACCACTTGCTGGTCTGTCTACTGAGCATAGCTGCTTTATTGAACATGGAAGCAACTTGGCATTCCAGATCAGTCGGTATGGCAATGCCTCTTCCTTTAGCTAAAAGTGAGAAAGTTCATTTTACGTTACTTGAATACAAACGAACGTATTATTTTTAGAGCAATTTTTTGCAGAAGCTCATGAGGATTATACTTACCTACATCTGACAATGTCCGTATACAATTTTCGACGTTAAATCTCTGTCCGGCATTTAACCATGTACACTGAGATACTTTAAAAGCTGCATGAAGCAACTGAACAAATATAGGTTGCCTTGTCTGTTTCATGAAAAAGTAAATGTAAAAATTAATCGAATTTGTCTATGTTAAAAAAGTAAGAAACGCGCCATCATATTTAGCTATTTATAACAGCTCTCTTTAAGCGTTTTGTAATTTTATATTATACAAACTTTAAGAGTTATAAAACGATAATGATAATTAGATAATTGTTTTTGCAGAACTTATTATTCCAAGTTTATATATTGTTGTTCTCTTACTTATTTATTTAACAATACTGCAAATTTTATTATTATTGTCTACTCTGTACTTTTATTTTTTCTTATTTATATTTAACGTCGTTCTATTCTCTAATGCACTAAAATGTTATTTTGCATAAAAAGAACACACTCATTGCCAAGCGTTTTGAATAAAAAAAAAAACATTATATATATATACAATATATCATGCTATATAGAGTTGTAAACTTTTTTTCGTACGTTAAAGTAATTTGGGAAACACACAGAGAAAAATTATCTTAAGAATAAAGGAAAGAAAATAATAACATCGTGTGGTTAGCACCAGTAGACACAGTTTACAAATGTGCTCGCATCCAACACAATGACAATGAATGTGTTAATTATGCAAACGTGTGTATAATACAGGCGTACGTAAAGAAGAGAATGCAGTTCCTATTTACAACGTAAGTCATTTTGTGCTAAAGCGTTTCTAATAGCCCCAATCGTAAGATATAACGTATATTGTAATATATATCTCTCTCGTAGTATATCTTAATATACTTGTCAACTAAGTTACAATTCTAATTAGTATATAAAAGAGTCACAATTGTTGAATCTTCTTTAAAATTTTCTAAATTTTGTTTTCATATTAATATTTACTTTCTAATTTAATATTTATTTCAATTTTTACATAATATATTGCTCATAGAACATATTATATTGTATATTTTTATAATATAAATATACACAATAGAGTACCCAGCAAACATTTCGGTCACAGAACCATATCCATCTGTGTCCTCAGTAGGATATGGTTTGGTAATCATGTCTGTCAACATGTGAAATGTCAAAATGCGACCAAAATGATGACAGAGTCTGCCACAAGCAAAGCGAAGTCAAATTATCGCC